TAGAAGGTTTTACTGTGCCTCTTTTAATCCCAAAAACTATGTGATACAAAGCAAACAAACTAAGCCAAAGCAAATGAAGTAGAATTAATATTATGCTCACAACATGTCTGTTGCCTGGGGGGGAAATGGTAGTGCCTGATCTGATAGAGCTATAGTCTCATCCACATGTCCATGCAAAATGCATCTATGTGTTCCATCTTGAGATCCATGGTGACACAAGTATTTTGTGCAGGAAGACTGATGGAGGACAAGATAATAGTCTTCAAGTATATAAAAGTTTGTTATAAGTAGGAGGGTGATAAATTGTCCTTCTTAACCACTGAGGATAGGATGAGATGTAATGGGCTTAAATGGCAGCAAGGGAGGTTTAAGTTGGACATTAGGAAAAACTTTGTGTCAAGATAGTTAAGCACTGGAACAAAATGCCTAGGGAAGTTGTGAAATCTCCATCACTAGAGGTTTTTCCGAACAAGCTAGACAAGCATGTCATGGGCGGTCTAGATAATACGTAGCCCTAGATAATACGCGGTCTAGATAATATTGTTTATATGATATATGATATGATAATATGGGGACTGGATTAGATGACCTATCAGGGTCTTTTCCAGGGTCTTTTCTGGCATGTCTCTGATTCTATGCCTTGTCTAATGCAATAGCTGCATAGTGTTCTGTTGCCTTTCTGCAGCTTCTGAATATCATATCTCCATCTCTATCTCTTGCTTATTGGGAGCTGTCTATTTATTCTCTTACTTTAATTTATTTTCCTTCTGCCATTCAGCCACTTAAATGCAGCACTTTTTATCTCAGTGTGAAATTTGCAAGAAAGATCTACAGTAGAAAAAAAAATAAACACACACATCCCTAGTGCTATCTGGAAGCCCTGGGATATTTAGTGTGATTCAGCAAGGAGCTCTGTTGTAAGACATTTCAAAATGTCATTGCGGTTCTCATTCCAGTGACTTCAATCTAGATTTTATATTACTCCATTCTGGAGAGACCACTCCGGAACTGGCTCACAAACCTTGGTACGCAAACTGTAGATTTGTATGAAGAAGAAAACAGTTCCCATTTACACTCATTTGTCAGGAGCTAGGAATGGGTGAGAGGGAATGGATCACTTGATGACTGTCTGTTCTGCTCATTCCCCCTGGGGCATCTGGTATTTGTCACTGTTGAAAGGAAGACTATTGAGCTAGATGGACCTTTAGGCTGTCCCAGTGTGGCCATTCTTATGGTCTTATAAAATAAATGTTGAAAAGTTTAATTTACTCATTTTGGTTACAGCAGCCATTTTGCTGCTGCTGTGTCTTACCACAGTATATGCAAAACTAGGGGAAAATGCAGTTGTTAATAAGCACAGTAAGAAAAAGGAATGAAATTGTGTTATTTGAAATTGAATCACATTTTGGTGACCATCTTTCTTCCCCACAGATGCAGAAAATAAGCTCTCCTTCCAGATTTTCTTAATAACAATGAACATAGGTAATTACAACTGAATTGCAGATACTATCACACTTGAATGATAACTCTCTCTCTTAGATGTCTCCTCAGAATCCTCCACTGTGATATTACCGCACAAATCTTGTGGAAGTAGACACCTTATTCCCCCCAGCACTGTCTATGCCTTCTGGGTATAAAGAGCAGTGTACTCGAGCTGGACTCTCAAAAACGGAGACACCCAAAACAAAAGCAACTTGGGAATATTTTGGCAAAAGCAGCCAATCATATCTGGATTCAAAGCTGATATTAACAAAGAATACGATTCTGTAACTCATTGTTCTGTACTTAGTATTCAATGGCTTGAAGTCCCCAGCAGAACTGGTACGAAAAGCAGTGGACAAGCCTAAACCTATATAACATGTACATTTGAAGACTGATCTGTGCAGAGCTTCAGGTCACTAGTGAAACATGAAAGGTGAATATATACACAAGCAGCTGAAACACCTGGCCTATTGATACATAAAGGATATGATATTTCTGTCACATACTTGAAACACAAGAACAAGGAGGTGTCTTTGGTTACTACTTACAGGAAATCTTCTTTTGAAAGAAACTGAACCAGGCCACCTGGATGATTTCCAGCTTTTTCTCTGGCAGTACACTAGACTGGGGACAATTTAAAACCAATCTCTGGATGAGGCTTTAATATTTAGTTTCCATTCCAATGTCATAAACTGAGGCACATATCATCAAGCATCTTGAAAAATTAGCTCCTACATTTGCAAGTGTGTCTGACTTCAAGAATGAGACTGGAGGCTCAAATTTTCAAACTTGGTTGTCAAAATCTAAACATTAGCCAACTCAGTGAATTGTGGATATTCCAGAATCTCTGAAAATCAGGTCTCCTAACTAGGAGGCTAAATATTGATTTTAAAGAAATACCCATCTTTAAACACTGAAGTTTGGAAAAATTAGCTCTTGTATGTTGGAAATAGGGAGAGAAAAGGGTGTATTCATCACTAATCTGAAGGCCAGCACAACCTAATTCCAAACATGCATTAAGGGACAATCCTGCCCTTTCTTCTTCAGGAGTGGAGGACCCTCATTGTTTCCATTGTACTAAGAGTAGGGGCATGCTTCCAGGAGGCTGCCTAGGGAATTCTTGCTGCTGTTGCAAAGATTTATTCTGTGGATGATTCTTTCACATTAGCATGCAGGAGGGATGAACTGGAGGTGGATTTTCTGGTCCTTATCCTTCAGAGGGAGGAATTCTTCAGGTGTGAAGGCTAGAGTAGCTTTGCTGCTCCATAGATGATTTGTTCCCTTTTGAAAAGCCCCATAAAATGTCCAGTTAATGTTGGGTGCAGGAAATTGATTTTCCTCATCTGCTTTTAATTACTATCATGTATGTCCAGTGTGTATCTACTGAAGGCAAAGTGGCAAGTTAGGATTTACACCAGTGACTTCATCAGTGTGACTGAGAAAATCATTCGTCTTTTTGTTTTTGTTGCTAAGAGCAAGTTTTGCTGGCAGTGACAACTTACAGTATACATTTTGTAATCTTTTTGTTTTTTAAAAGTGACAGACACATGCATCTGACGAAGTGGGTCTTTGCCCACGAAAGCTTATGCTCCAATACATCTGTTAGTCTATAAGGTGCTACAGGACTCCTTATCGCTTAGACAAATGAGAGGCAGCCTGGACAGGATATCAGTCTGAGAAGACATGGGCTATAGTCCTACCTCTGCCACTGATCTCTGGTGGGCCCTTAGGCAAATCACTTTCCTGTCTGTTTCTACTTTCGCTCTCTTTTCTGTCCTGGTTAAATTGTAAGGCTACGTCTAGACTATAGGTTTCTTTCAGAAGAAGCTTTTTTCAGAAGAGATCTTCCAAAAAAAGTCTTCTGAAAGAGAGTGTCTACACTGCAAAAGTGCATCGAAAAAGCGATCTGCTTTTTTCAAAAGAGAGAGTCCAGACTGAATGTATGCTTTTCACTCTTCTTCCAAAAGAACTCCCTATTCAAATGGCCAGGGCACCTGTGCTTTTTCCTCTTCACTCTTCTTCCAAAAGAACTCCCTATTCCCCATCCACACACGCCTTTTTGAGAAAGAGCTCTTTCGCAAAAAGGCTTCTTCTTCGTAGAATGAGGATTACCAATGCCGGAAAACCCCTTCTGGTCTTTCGATTTTCTTGTGGAAGAACCCAATTGCAGTGTGGATGTTCCTCATGTTTTGTCGGAAAAATGGCAGTTTTTCTGACAAAACTGTAGTGTAGATATACACTAAGGCTACGTCTACACTGGCCCCTTTTTCGGAAGGGGCATGCTAATTTTGAAAGTGGGAATAGGGAAATCCGCGGGGGATTTAAATATCCCCCCGCAGATTTAAATAAACATGTCTGCCGCTTTTTTTCCGGCTTGGGGAAAAGCCGGAAAAAAAGCGTCTAGACTGGCCTGATCCTCCGGAATAAAGCCCTATTCCGGAGGATCTTTTATTCCTACTTCAAAGGGCTTTATTCCGGAGGATCGGGCCAGTCTAGACGCTTTTTTTCCAGCTTTTCCCCAAGCCGGAAAAAAAGCGGCGGACATGTTTATTTAAATACGCGGGGGATATTTAAATCCCCCACGGATTTCCCTATTCCCACTTTCAAAATTAGCATGCCCCTTCCGAAAAAGGGACCAGTGTAGACGTAGCCTAAGTGTTTTGGGACAGAGACCTGAAGAATCCAGTACAATGAGGAAAGCCTCTAGCATCTACAAGAAAAATATATAGCAATAACTGTCGTGAGAGTACAATTTCTTATCTGCAGTGCAGATCTACCTGCTTACATCAAGTTCAATTTTTTTGACCCAGAAGTTACAAAGGACACTTGGACAGACCCTTAGCTCTATAGGCCATTGCTATAATAATTCCATCAAAACTTTTAGCCAACTAGGTGACTCCGTGGGAAATTCTCAGTGAAACTGCCAAATCCCTAGCATTTAGCAGCACAAATTGTGTGGGTTATTTTACTTGCCCTCTTTTTAAAAAATAAACTTCACCCATCACACTGTGAATAGTATGTGCAGACAGAAAGCAGTTAGCAAAATGGAATTATGTGTAAAGAGGCTTTAATCCTTTCAGCCCTTCTATGAGAACATCTGCTTGAATTACAGGCCATAGCTGCACTGTTTGAGGGCTTGTTTTTGTCACAAGACCTCCCTCCTCCCACCACTTCCTCCCTGCATCTTAGATGGTGCACGGAAAATAAAAAAGCTAATTAGGACTTCCAGCCCACCCCCACCCATTAGTGAAACTTGATATGTTTACTAAAAAAATAGTTATGACATTCCATTCATAAATCTTTGCTAATGTCAGCATTATATTGATGGAATTATGATGCCTCAGTACAAATTGTCTGACCTGTTTTATGTTCCCCAGCACATAATTAAGGTGGTGTTGTGTTAAAGGAAGTAATTTTGTTCAAAGGTTTGGCACCAGCAGTGCAATGTCTTTTGCTTGTATTACTAACAGCTACCAGTCGATGATAGCAGACATATTCGGGTAGCTGTGTGTGTGAGAGGCTATGAACAAACCAGGACACTAAAACAAGAAAGTCATGTCTTGAGAAGAGGTATGTTCATGGTTTCAGACAAAGCAAGGACTTATTCTTCACAGGATTTAAGCAACTTAATTAATAAATGGTGTCAAAAGTTTAAAAGCTCCAGAAACCTTGACACATTTTCCCTGACTGCAACATTGTGAAACAGATCTTACTTCCTTTCTGAGTGCCGTGTGGGTGTCAGTGCATTCATGCTCCTTTTGAAGGGGGGGTGAAAGTCATAAAAGAGCCTGTGGCTCAGAGGTAAATGTTTTATCAAATTCCTTTGTACTGTCATGCACATTTTCTATATGCTCATTATTATTACTACATAGCACCAGAAAGGGATGTGGTGCTGAGAAAATATATAATTGTCCCAGCAAATATGAGTATGAAACTCCAGTGCTGTAAACACTTACACATATCTGTCACTGCATCCTCCCGTTAATTTTAAGGGGAAACTTACACTCATGCTCATGGCTTCAATTCTGCAGTTGAATGGCTTCAGTCCACCTCAGAGGAGAAAATAAGTGGGTGAGCCCAGGTGCACAGTTCTGGCAAGACACTGGGTTTGCAATAGGATAGTACCTGTAAGACATTTTAAGTTACTTTGACTGCCAGTCCACCTCAACTGAAATCAATGAAGAGATGCCCAAGTACACTCAGTTGCGGGATGAGGGCCCATATGTTTGTAGGATTGGGGCCTGGGGTCCAAAGCATGCTCTAGTAGTCTCTGTTTCCTTTAAGGCAGCTCTTTGCCTGTCTAAAGGTTACTAATGTACTAAGGATGAAGGCTGGATTGGGGCTGCACATGTCATAGCCCAATTAGATAACTAATGTATGGAACAAATTAAGATGTTGTCCTCATAGCCTGAATGCTTAGCTGATTAGGTGGGTTTCCAACAGATGCTGGGAGAAGATTTTCCTATCATTTATTAGCAAGTATTTGAGGTATAAAGGGCCCAATCCAATGTCTACTCAAAGTGGTGGAAAGAGTCCCACTGACTTTAGTTGTTTTTGGATCAGGACCATTGTGAAGCTACCTCCTTTTTATTCAGCTGCGGCTGGCTGTTTCTGTAGTAATGTCACAGATCAGCGTCGGTGACATGGCTATGGAAGTGACTGGGATGTTCTACACAAACTGTTGGGTCAGTGAATAGCTTAGTCACAAGGATTAATAAAATTAAGAAGGCTGACTACAAGGAAGACTGCTTCCATTGTGACTATCATATTGATAATCATTAGTGATTTGTAAAAAAATATATATAGACAGGTACATATCAATGAAATAGTCTGGCTAAAAACAAGCAAAAAATCCACCACCACTTGTATGTTTTGGTTTGTTTCTTTGTTGTTGGTTTTTTTTAAACAAATAGGTCTACAAAGGTTAGGATCTTCTTACTCAGCTACAAATACTTCTCTATTTACAGTTGATAATCTTGTGAACTTACATTTACACTGCTGTTAGCATGAAGTGCATTAATCAGTTGCTTCCTCCTGGACTTTCCTGAACACATGGAAAAGTGGGCACTTGCAGCTAAAGCTTAGGAAGTAAGGTTTTCTTGGAGTCAAGAAAAGAGAAGACACAGGACTAGTGGGGGTTAGAGCAGCAAACTGGAAGTCAGGACTATCTGCTCGGCTAGTCACCTAACCTCACTGAGTTTGCCTAATTGTAAAATGAGTATAATATTGCTTACTCCACATTGGTTTAATGAAGTTTAAACACAGGTTATAAAGCTCTTAGAGCTCCTGGATTTAAAGCTGTAAAATTTAAAGAGGGAATCTCAGTATCCTAGAATGTTTGCATTAAAACTTTTTCCTCTGCTACTAGGTATAAAACAGCTTAGTTTGACCCAATTTAACCCCTCTAAACACATGTATACTGGGTAGATAATTGTGGAAGCTAGGTCAGATGATAGTTATCTTGCCCCACAGTTACACTGACCTGGCTGATACAGTTGGAGGCAATCTATAATAAAGCTGTAAATGAATGATCTGGACACACAAAAATAGCACTGCAACCATGATAGATTAAGTGGAAGCGCACAATGAGTGTGGAATAGGGCTGTGAGTCACTCTTCCCTCCTAATCTTAAATTATTGTTTTACTGGTGATGGGGGAATATATCACTAGACAGCTTGAAATGTGAAACCAAAATGACCATTGCTCATTACTGTAAAATGTGTATTGTGAATTGCTTTTATGCAATTTCATAATTATTAATGACACTGTAATGATAATTCTGTTTATCTTCTATATACTCAAGAGAATTTGTGCATCCGTCTGTACGTCCAGCGGTCTGTGAGTCTGTTTGTTCAAGAACGCCTCCAGAAGGTAAGAGCGTGGACCACCAAATTTGGTATGCAGCTTCCTCTTATCGTAATTTAAAGCATCATAAGGGTTTGATTGTGCCAGGACAATGGGATGTGCAATCAAATGGAACCAGAGGGCTGTGGTAGCAGGCCTAGTTATACTCCACAATAACCACAGGGAGGCAGCAAGCAAGTGCTCCCCTGTCTCTCTGACAACTCCAGAGAATCATGGAGCAACCGCCAACTGGGGAACACACCTCTCCAAGCCAACCCCAGGAAGCAACCACCAGGTGCTCCTACCCTTTGTCCCAAGTCCCCCACCCCATGCCCTGAGTCCTGCACTGCCACCCCCTCACACTTCCTAACCTTCTGCCTTGATTCCTACACCCCCTGCCTTGAGTCCCTTATCCCTGCCCTGACTGCTGCACTCCCCAGCCCCTGCCCAGGTCCCCCACCTTCTACCCTTACTCCTGAACCCCACACACCCCTATCTCCCTGCTCTGAGCACCCCATGTCCCCAACCCCCTGCCTTGACTCCTGCACCATCCATACTCTCTGTCCTCTACCATGAAGGACCCAAGAAACATCGGGTAAATCTAGTAGACTATAAACTGAAGCATTATACATATGTACACTTCTTGACTATGGTGGGAAGTGGAAGGATACTTTTAGTAATAAGAGCTGCCCCCATTCAATTAAAAGAATGTTACATGTTCTGTTTCCTTTGAAACACCAGATGGCTTCCTAAAAACTCCCAGGACGCACAAAAGCTCATGATCCTATATATTTTTGTTAGTTTCTAAGGTGCCACAGGAAAACTCATTTTTAAAGTTACAGACTAACATGGCTACTCCTCTGAGGTTCCCAAGATGGTGATGACTGAGATGGGTGTTTGTAGTACAGATTACTGTGAGTCCTTCATTTCAGAGCTACAGCTTGGACTAAAGTAAATACAAATATTGGATTTAATCAATATGTTTTGGCTATAACCAATATTGTGGCTCATCTACCTGGGAAGATATCATTTCAAATGCTTTGGCTGTGGTACATATCTATGGTCAAACTGTAAATATACTAGGCTAAATCCTCTATCAGTATAAATCAGCATAGCTCCAGTGACATCAGTGAAACTGCGGTGATAGATACCAACTGACTTGATCTATTATATTTTGACTTCATTTAGTAGTGTTTATATGGTTCAGGGAAGGGGGTTTCCATTACTAAACTGCACGATGCTTAGACCCTACAAATGGTTATGAGCATGCTTACCCACATGAGTAGTTTCCTTGAGTTAAGTAGAACTATTCATACACATAAAGTAACACACCTGCTACATTTCTGCAAAATTTTTATCTAAGATTGTAAGCCAGGCATATTTTGAGAAATTATATTTTTAAAAATGTGAATTTTTCCCTTTTTCTGTTTTTCCTTCCTTCTCATTTCATCAGATGAATGGGACCCATCAGTTCTAACCAAAAAAGTAAAGTTAAAAGAAACTACAGTATACTAAACAGTCTCCATTCAGATGCTAGCATGACCATATATAACCCTGAGTAGCCTAAAGAAACAATTGTAAGAATCTATGTTATCTTCCTTCAGAATTTTGTCATTTTTCCTCCCCAATTGTGTAATTCAAGGATGAGGGCCAAAGCTCACAGTGTGATATTAGAGGGGGCTTTATTAAAAAAGGAGTAGACATGTGTTGTGGATGATTTCATAACATTGTCAGCCTGCCATGTCCTCCCTTTCTATCTCAAAAAAACCTCCCTACTTCAAATCACATTATTATGGTGCTTTCATAGACACAAGATGGATACAAATTTATTTTCTGAAAATATTGAACAGTTTTGGAGTTTTATACTGGTGATTTTAAAATATAAAAGCCTGCTCAGCCACTCCCTTTCACTTTGTATTCATCTGTGGAAATGTGGGTGCAAAATGCTCCTAAATGACCATCACAAGATGTGTCCACACTGTCTAATTATGACATTAGACATTAGACAAGTCTAATTAGACACCCATGACACAATATTGATTATAGCCAACATATATTGAATAAATCCAATGTTTGCATTTACTTGAGTCCAAGCTGTAGCTCTTAAACAGAAGGCTCACAGTAATCTGTACTACAAACACCCAGCTCACTCACCACCATCCTGGGAGCCTCCTGAGGTAGCCCTGTCAGTCTGTAACATTCAGGCTATGGGACCATGTGACGGGGTGTATCATCCGTGCGCTGAGCTGCCAGCCGTGGACCAATCATTGTGATCCCAGGAGGCCAGGCCTCCTCTTCCCTTCAGTGCATGCTCCAGATGGAGAACATGAATAAAAGGAGACCGCAGCCCAGCTCAATTGAGAGAGATGATGGAGGAGGAAGGATGTACAGGCCGTCCTCGGTATAAGTCCAAGATATATTCCACAAAACTTGGACTGATAGCGAAACAACTTAGAGCGGGGAATTTTCTTCCTGTGGCTGCCTTCTATTTTCACAAATTGGGGAGGACTGTGATTTAAGAGTGGGGAATGGCAGGACTTATAATGCATCAGTTCCTACAAGCATCAATGACTTTAGTGCGGAACAGATGTACACTGGGGCAACTTACAGCACGGACGCCCTGTATCCTACCACTTCCTGCGATGCTCCTGGCTATAGAACTTAATGACCCAGATTGCATTCCTGGTGTGACAGCCAGGGCACGTCAAGCTGCCGCCCATTGAGGAAGCTGCTGAATGTTCAGAGGGAAGAAAGGCCTATAGACTGTGTGCTTGTTTTGCTCCACCCAGAGTCATAGGCTGATTAATATTCTGCTCTGCCCAGAAGGCTATTTCCCCAGGGCATCTGCCTGCCCCAGCATGGAGGCTGTGAGGTCATAAGATGGTTTACTTGCTTTACCCCAGCCTGGGGGGCTACTAGGCCATAGTTTGTTCTGCCCCGCCCAAGAACCATAGACAGTGATTTCACTTTGCCTAGAGGGCTAACTCTCTCAGTGCTACTGCTTACCCCAGACTGAGGGCCATCGGGCCAAAGAAGGTTGGTTTGTCTTGCCCTGCTCAGCAGTTGCACCCAGCTTGCTGTTGTGACCTGCTCAGAGGGCCTAAGACCTGGTTTGTTTGATTGTTCTGCTGTCCCAACCAGGAGCTCAAGGCCCAGGTTGCCTGACTGTTTTGCCCACAGAGCCCAGAGGACTATCTGAGACAGGTCCCATACTGGACTGATGGGGATGCGCCAGCATAATCGCAAGGTTCCCCTAATACGGGATGTTTAACTGCAGTGTAGTCATTCAGGTTTGGACTATGGCCTGGGTTCTGGGACCCTCCCACTTCTCAGGATCCTAGAGCCTAGACTCCAGCCCAAGCCCAGACATCTTCATTGCAATTAAACAAACGCTTAGCCCATGAGCCCGAGTTGGGTTTTTTAATTGCCATGTAGATATGCCCACAGTATTTAACTCCCACTCTACACAATATGTAATCAGATAAATGGCTTGATGTTCCCCCTACAAGGAGCATCCTAAATCTAAGTAATTTGGGCCCCTATCTGGGAAAGTGTTAAGCACAAGTTTAACTTGAAGTTAATGAAACTTAGGCAAGTACTTAAGGTTAAACATACACTTCAGTAATTTCCTGCATTGAGACCTCTGGATCTGATTGAAAGTTCACTGAAGTCAAGAGCTTCAGGGGGTAGCCGAGTTAGTCTGTTACAGAAAAAAATAACAAATGGGCTGGTAGCACTTTATAGATTAACAAAACATGTAGATGGTATCATGAGCTTTCGTGGGCACAGCCCACTTCTTCAGATGACTGGAGTTATGACTGGAGTTGACTTTCATGGGCTTGGGATCAGGGCTTTAAATAAATTCAGGAAACTTAGGCTCCAATCCAGCCAAATATGTATGATGTGTAGTCCTGTAGACGGGTGACCTAGTCCAACTTTAGTGTGGCACTATTTGTGCTTAAAGTGAAGGACATGCTTGAGGGGCAGATCTCTGAGGATGTGTAGGTGTCTCTAGGTGCAGATGATTTCAGTTGGAGTTTAGTGGGTAACCTGCTTAGGTAATTTTACAGAACCCATTGAGAGTTTGTGTTACAGTAATGTTCTTTATTACCATGTTCACAATAAAGCATTTAAGGGTCTTTTTAAAAAATATTTTTTTATACAGTGAATAATTTTGTAGGCTTCTTGTATTATACTTCTGAAGTTCACCTGCATTTAAGAACACACATGCAGCCATACAAACATACACACTTTCTGACTGTGAAAGGCTTCCAAAATTCATTATGTGCATCCTATTTATAAAAGTAGGGTTAGTTTCACAACTCTTTAAATATTTTATTTTTAAATTCATTTTAATTAGTTTTAAATTTTATACCTAACTATGGTGTGTTGTAATGTTATAATGGAAATAGGAGAAGGTAACAGGTCATTGCTAATAGACGTAATATAGGACTTTACCACAATTTTTAAGTAATTTGATTGCTATTATATAGTGATTTATTTGAATAATTATGAATATGATTTTGTGCACTTCTTGACAAGAAGCAATATTATCTGTCTGAGATTGTAAATACTGCTGATATGACAGGTCCTAAATCATGAAAGTGCTACTTTCATGACACTTTGTTCTGTCTTCTAGTCAGAATTCAATGTGTGAAACGTTCGAGAGGAGGTTGGCCAAATGAAAAAAACCTACGTTTCTCAGAAATCACATACATAATATACAAAATCGACCTATTGGCCCAAAACAATTGTGTCTGAATGCTGTTGGTTTGAAAATCTGAACAAGATCTTTTGGGGATTATCTTAATTTAGTATTAGCTTTCCTGCATGAGGTATCTTAATACTGCGTCACTAAAATGCAAGTGAGTGCTTTTTAGATACTAGCTGTCACAAAACACCTTACAATGCAGTGGGTTAGCTATTGATAATGTAGCCCTGGTCCAAAGCCCATTGAAACCAGTGGAAAGATTGTCAGTGACTTCAATGAGCTTTGGATCAAGTCCTATGTAGGCAAAAGGAGTAGC